CTCAACCTTGATTGCCAGATGGGCCTCAAAGTATCTTCGCAGGGCCATGCAGGTGTGCTTGGCTGTCTGTCTGCTGGAGAAAATCTCATCATCACTCAGCAGAGCTCCCTGGTCCTCAGGGTTCAGGATCTCCAGTGTGCTAATCTAGAAATAGTCAGTGTCATACATTAGTGAGAATTTATCGGCCGCTCATTTTATCAGTTCATTTTATTGATATGTTTGCTAAAAAGATACAGATAAGTTTACATGGGTGAGCTGAGGAATACATATGGCAGACAGCTGCTTTGTCCTACCAGATTGACGAGGCGTCGGAGTCCGTCCTGCTTGTCAAAAAGCTCCAGGACGGCACGAAAGGAAAAAGAGATGGAGAAGAACATGGTGGCGTGGCAGCAGCCGGACGCATGTGAGCACTCCAGCAGCCACAGTGTGTAACCAACCACATCTGACAGGATGGAGTGTGGCAACATGCACACCTTGAGAGGATAGAGGACACACCAATGAATGCAAATGTGAAATTGAAACAAAAATGACATGATACTGATGAAATCTAGTGTCATGAACCGATAGATACCTGAACATTTTTGTAACAATGATAATCTGAATGAATATATTTATATTTTAAGAGAATTTCAGGCAGAAATTAAACGAAATGTAACGGTGAAAGAATTATGTCAATATTTCAAATGTAATTGTGGTAAAGCTTGTGTCTGGTTTGTACCCTCTCCATGGCGTCCTGGTTATAGGCAAGGTAGTAGAGGCACAGTGACACGCCAGTAGCTGCCATTGATGGCCTGGGGATTTCCAGCAACTTCTGAACTCCTCCATGAGCCACAAACTCTGCAGCAAACTTCTTGTGCAACAGCAGAGAAGCCAAGTACTGCAGGAGTGGAGAGGAGACAAGTAGAGAAGTGAGCCTGAGAAACGTTCAGCTTCTGTTGACTACAGTGGGTGGACTGCAGGAGACAGCATTTACCTTGAGAGCTTCAAAGGTGAGCTGCACATCATTGGTCTGTTTTAGATCCATATAATGCATGAGAAGCTCACGAGCTCCCATCTGCATGAACACTGCCAGCAGCTGCAGGTGGGAAAAGGAATGATCAAATTGACAACACATAAATCATCTCGATTTTCTTTATGGAAACCAGAAAACGCCTGTGAACCAAAGTAAGACACACTGGTAACCGTTTCTTGTGTGAAATAGAAAAGATGAGGTATCACATTTCAAAAATGGTTTTAAATTGCATCAGAATAAAACTAATTTCTATTGTAAAAATTAAGGAAGACTGACACCTGCTGGTGAACATTTAACAGGACAAGGATATTTTAAAGTGATCCTCTACATGCTGCTTACCTCCTGATATTCTCCCAGAGGGGTGAGATACTGAAGGATGAGCCTCTGCTCAATCTCTGGGGTCAGAGGGTACAAATGATAGTTGTTGCCGATCACCCAGGGACTCATCTCAGACCAGCTGCTGTTTGAAAGCTCACTAAAGTTCCTTTCTGGATCTGGCAAAGAGAAATTCAGCTTCTGTTTGGAGATCCTTCCGATGTCCCTGTCTACCCTCCTTCTCAGGTAACTGCTGCCATCAGACATGCCTAGCTGAGTCAGTGAACCAGGGGCAGACATGGGCTTCATCATGGTTTTAACAGCCGAGTTGGCACGGCTGCTGGTCTTATGGGGAGAATTGAGACGGAACGAGAGCTCGTTTTCGGGTTCAATGGTTGAGAGGGATATGTCGCCGTCCTCCTCTGGTCCCGCCCCGTCCCTTTCTGCTCCGTTTCTGCCCAGTGTATAAGGCTTATCTTCAAAGCCTCCGTCAACAGTCTCCTCATCCAGAGGCAACAAAGGCTCTCCCAGTGTCTTCCTGGGGCTCGGCCGTTTGATTTCCCTTTTGTTCTCAGCGTCCTTATCCTGAAGCTCACGCAAACGATGCAGCATCAAAGGCACCTGTCAAAAGTTAAGCATGAAAAATTAGTTGATGTGAAGCTGCTAAATCACACAACCGACGGATTGTGGGCAGACTGGTCTCATCCTTTGCACAGTTCTAAAGTACCTTGTCAACCGGGTCACGTTTTCCAATAAAATAAAGCAGACATAGAAGACTGCAGAAAACTCATACTGACCAAAACAGAGTTCTCCTCTCTGTAGTTGGCTGCAATGTCCTGGTTCTCCATGGCTCCGGCTAACAAGCCAGTGGCGTAGATCCTGAGGGGCTGCTCGGCCTCCTGAGCCCACTTAAACAGCCGTTCCACTATGCCTTCCTGTGAAGAGCAAGCACAGAAGACAGATTCAATTTATCTAGAAATAAGAGTGTTATCCAGAAAGGTCAGGCAGTGTGTCTCTGCCAACATGTTGCCAAATAATAATGTATTAAAGCTTGAAATACAGTTTCTAAAGTTCTAAAAAGAATATCCAGTCTTTATTATTTATCACTGATGAACTTATTCAAAAAGAACTCCAAAGACTTTGTAATACTTTAAAAATAAAAGAATCAGGTGAGAGTTTATGTTTGTCCTCAAATCAGCTGTCACAGAGAGGCGGTTTAAGTGTTACTGACTCACAGGCTGAACTGTGACAAAACAAACAAAAGTTTACATTTTCAACAACTACAGCAGTTTTGTCTTTATTTGCCTACGCATAATGCTTCCCCCCCCTCCCCCCCCCCCCAAGAAAAACTGAAAACTGGCTCTCCAAATTTTAATTTATGACCACAGTTTTTTTTTTTTTTTTTTAACCTTAGTATCCGGCAGTGAAAAGTACATGAAAATACATCACTTTATATAGCCTTGACCATTTAACTCAGCAAGTTCTATATCTGTTAAAATATGACCTAATACAGAGTCTTTCTTATTGTGTCATACCAGCTGATATAAACAAGACGCGTAGTTAAAACACGAGTACAGAGGAGAAAAAAAAAAGAATGCTTCTCCCTTTCATGAACTCAAAATGGACCCACCTTCTCCTGAAAGACTACAGCTGTCTCCAGCCCAGGCATGATGTTCTGGAGCAGGCGACAAGCCGCTGCATTGAGGGAAAATTCCCTGCTGGTCATCACATAGCTGTTCACCAGCTACAAAGAGGAGAAAAAAAACACATGAATCATTTATTTATTTATTTATTTATTTTTTAAACTTGGGAGCTAAAAGCTGCCCTCAATTTTGCACGAATACAGTGTCATGCTTACTGTGTTCATAAAGTCGTCATTCTTAAACAGGATCTTCAGCAGGTGCCCTAACACACATTCTGGATCAGCTCTCCCTAGTGGCCGAGAGGGAAATGTCAAAATCATGCACAATATGTAAATTGCCAGTTATTAAGCGATGAGGGGTGTTTTTTTTTTTTGTACCAGGATGTCGATCATCAAAAGGGTCCGGATCGGCTTTGTGGTATTCTTCAGTCTCTTTCTCAACCAGTTCTGAGATTCTGAACAACACAGAACATTAATACATTTTAAAACCTGTAACCTAGTGGTTAGTGCTAGCCCCATGTACAGAGGCCCAGGTTTAAATCCAACCTGTGGCTCCTTTCCCCACACGTCATACCCAACACACTCTCTCTCTTTCTTTCTTTCTTTCTTTCTTTATGACATCTGACTCTATCAACCTTCCTATCTTTAAATAAAGGATAGTATAACTACTTACTTGGTGAGGATGTTAACAAGCTCCTGTGTGCTGCCCTGTTGCTCCCTCTCCCATTGTTCAAGTAGAGCAGTCAGCTCTGCCTTGGAGTCCACACTGGCAGATGCTGACGCCATAGCACAGCCTGTCAGGGTGGCATGCACTTCATTTGGATTTATTTGTCATGAATACATTCTTTACATTTCTATTCACATCCAGGATATAACAGAGCAGGCAACCGTGTGGCATAACTTATAATGATTTAAACAATAACACCACAAACAAAAAAACAAGCAAGCCTTTTTCATGTGCTTTATATACTCAGCTGCCAGATGTGTATGCACTTAACTTAAATGCAGGTAGCTATATTGTCGTATAACCCATTAACAATTGTTTAAACTGTACAAATTAAGTTATCATGGTTATTTTTGGAGAATAGTTTGTGGTGCTGAGGGATTATTTCGCCTTGTTATTTCATTTAAAGCAAAGACGGAAACACTTCAACAACAACAACAACAACAACAACAAAACACCTTTTCATGAAAGCGTGTGATGCAAAACTGTTCACTGTACACATGTGAAGCAATCTGTACGGAATAAACGAGACACCGCTTCTTGTATAGTTCACTGAAGTCGGGGCAACAAACTGTGTGCAGGTGTTTCTGCCCTCCTGGGAAAACAACTGTCAAAAACTCTTTTACAGTTCAGGTTAAAAAAAAATAGACTGAAATCCCGAGCATGCATGTTTTTGATGATTTGATAATGAACTACTCTCTCAGACGGAACTCTTCTCATGTTATCCTATATTCTCCTAAACCCGACACTTTGTGAAGTCTGCAGGAAAGAGAGAGAGAGAGCCTGTTGCGATATTTCGGCTAGCTCGACTGAGGCTCACCGAGGGAAGCTATTCTGTTTAGCTTGCTCACGTCTCCTTTTTAAAGCGTCGTCTTCTCACTTCCCGTTACAGATTACATTTAACATGAAGCGGTCCCCCGACATGCACAGCTTTTCTTTTTCCAAACTCATATCGCACCGGAGCCCACAGAAACCTGCCTGTTCGTGTAACTTAGCACTGAGGTAGAGGCTAGCAGCATCACAGGTAAACCCGACTAGTTAGCTGGCATGCTAACTTTACCTTGTTGTCCCGCTTCACTTCCTTTCCGTTTTGTTTTTTTAACCAAGTCTTGTTTCCACGGATATTAGTTCAGACTTGATCAATTCAAGGTGAAAATCAATTTACCGACCAGTATTTCACAGACAAAGCTTAATGTGCTTTATTATAGCTTTGTGTTCACGGTTTATTATCATTATGGCGAACACGTTCCACACGTCATTTCACGAGCGACGGTCCACTTTTAATGACGAAACTTTCAACAGCAAAACATTGTGAAAATACCATTTATTCAAATTGATAGATAAATACAAAGCAAGTCGGAGATATTGTCGTGTGTTGAGATTATACAAAGTTAGTAATGATTAACATTCATGTTAAAAAAAAGAAAAAGTTTTGCCATGTGACATCACGTTACACATGTTACTAAAAGTTTAATAATGCAAAAAAATATTCAGTATAAAACATTTTGATTTATGATGGAAACGACAACATTACTGACATAAATGTGTAAAGAGTGTATCATTTACAAATTTTTACATGTTATCAATAAGCATTTTCTTTATTAGGTCATGCATACAAAGGAGAAATCCTGCCTGCATATTATCCCATAAAGCATAATACTACCTCAAGATAATACTTGTTATGAATTGGTGCTATACAGAAAACAATTGATCGATTGATACATGGCATACAATAATAACAATGATATTATTATTATTAATTTAACTTAGTTATAATTGTCTTGTTTATTCTGCTTTTATTTCTCAGTAACATTGGATTCTTATGCATCACTGTGCTTATTAGTTTTATTGTTGTTATGATGTTATCTGTTCTCCCCTGCGCTTATTACTGTTCTCTTCTTTTTATTTTGATTAATTGTGTACTTGTTTTAATGTAAAGCACTTTGTGATGTGTATCTGTGAATGGTTCTATACAAATAAACTTTACTTACTTACTAACGTTGTAGCGGCTCAAAGGAAAATTCACTGTCTGCTTGGCGTTTAAGATCACTTATTGAATGGATTTCATTAGTTCCTCTGACTTAATTGGCATCCTTGCTTAAATGGCTTGTTGACCTCTTCTTAGATAAACTTAAAAAAGGACTTATATGCCTACATGTCAGGGAACCTCCCATTAATCAGTAAAAAGTGACTTTTAGTAAAACTGCTTAATTTTGATAGCCAATGATCTGGAATTGAATTACCTTTGTATGAAAGCATTTCAATTACATGACAGTACAGCAACAGGTAGCAGGATAGTTATCTGCACTGACTCTGAACTCATTTCCGTACACAAAGTAAACGTGTGATTTCCCTTTCCATGAGTAGGTCACTTTGGTGACGGGGATCAGCTCTATGGTCTGACGCTGAAGACAAAGAAAGGAAATATGAGCATAATACACTGAGGCAAAATTAGGCTTTGATCATGAGTATTTTCTAGTTCATAAACATTTCTTGAAAAAGTAGACTATAAATACATTGGATGCACTCTTACCTGTTGTAGAATACGTGAGTTCTGGCAGAACTTGTTCTGGTGTTCTCTGACGAGGCGCTGTGAAGCATTCACCACTGTAACATCTGGAAGACCGGTCACTGGGTAAACCTGCACAGGGTGATCACTATAATATTAATTAGTGCTCATATTTTACATTACATCCACTATCCACTGCTAATTAGTAAGAGCACAATGAAAGATTCAGTCCCTGATCAGTGTCACACAGGATGTGTTTTTGTGTGTGGTCACCCGCATACTCGTAGTACTACAATAGCTAAAGCTGCACACATAAAAGAAAATTCAAATGTGCTTTAAGTGACAGTTAAACTTGTGAAGCATCTCACAAGTGTTATGCTGGCTTAGTTCACAGTTGAAGTGGTTATGACATGGCTGAAACAACCTGTGTTGACACTCTGTACGCCTGTTGGGGAAGGTAAATGTTACACAGTTTTAACCACATATGAGCATGCTTGGTGTTGCGAGTCTAATTGTCAAGGCTTCAGTCGTCAGTAGGTTTGATCGATCCTTGTGCTATTTGGTGCATGTCATCCCCCACTCTGTCCCCACATTTCCTGTCTCTCTCAAGCTTTCCTTATAAATTAATGCAAAAAACCTTTAAAAATTCAATAGAAATAATCTATTGTATCCATTAAAAAAAAAACTATCCTTCCTGACTGAACTTGTGCTTTATGAGTAAGAAAAAAAATAATTTTTTTACCATGTACTGAGTGTCTTTGAAAAGCTCCTTGCCAGACACATTGCTCAGGTTGTCCAACTGCAGTCCACTTGACTGTTCCACAACATAGTTATCAGTGTTGTTGGTCCTGAAATCATGTTCATAAATAAAATAATAATTTGGGTTTATATTTGGTTAACTAGTTGAGATTCCATTAACGTTACAAATCTGAAAATATAAAAAACAATGTTTTTATGTTGTAAGTGGAGTTAGATATTCTTCACAGATGTTGAGGAAACCGCACCATTTCACGGTGAGGTTGATGTAGACCAGAAGCTGTTGTTTTCCCTGACATGTGTCACATTGCTTCGATCCTTGCCCGTGACACTGGCTGCAACTGAGAATAATGATAAATAACTATTAGACTCTTCTCTCCTACTTAACACTTTTATTGAATGACAATCAAAAACCAATGGGTTTTACTTACTTTTCCCTCCCTCTGCCACTGCAGCGGTCGCATCGATCATCTCCGTGGCGGAAACCGGATCCATTGCAGACCCAACAAACTTTCTAAAACGAGCAAGAAAGGAATTCTTATGATCACACTCAAGGTCGCAAAAGTTACACTTTCAATTAGGTCTGCAGAAACTACTCACATTTCCAGCACCAGCACAGTTTTTGCAAGGTTTTCTCCCCATTCCCACACAAGCATGGCAGCTCTGTATATGCAATGATTGTGGTCAGGAATCATCTTTAAACACAATCACAACAGCTCTTTGTTCTCCAATCATGTTTCAAATGATTTACCTTCAATGAGGATGTGTTGGGAACCTTTATAACCTGCTTGTCATCCACAAAAAAGGTGGGGGATTTTGCAGGAATATCCCACGGCCCTGGTGGAGGTTGGGCAAAGGCATCCACAGGCTGGCCTGATTAAATAAAAAATAAAAAACGTAATTTAAGTGAGCAGTGTCCTGAAACAGTTGACTGAATGAGAAGGAGAATTGCACCCATGTAACAATATGATGGTATTACCATGGTATGGATCATGCTTCCACTCTGTAGATCGTGATTCAGTGAAGGTTTCCAGGCGGTACTAAGATAAAGCATTGGAGGAGAAAACAGGAATATGTATTAAACAGCCACTATAAAACCTTTATTGATTTACATGCTTTTCTTCTGGCAGGTTTCCTAACACACAGACTAACCAATCAGTGCAATAGACCACCTCTTACCCTGTAAGTATTAAATGCATCCATACGGGTGATCACACCATCCTTTGCTGGTGCTGCACTGTAGCAGCATTTGCTGGAGGCAAACAGGACAAACGCATCCCGGGCAGTGTCCTCGCTGATAGACGGGATACTGTAGACAGTGTGAGAATGAGATACAGTATGTCATGGGGTCTGAAACCTTTGATATGAAGTGCAAGTTTTAGTAGTGCACAAAATGCTTAGCTTGCTTTAAATGTTTACAACACATTACGGAAAATCTTTTGCAATATTTTAAACAGCCATGTTGAAATATAAGGAAATGGTTTAAGGCTTACTTCCAATGTGGTTGGTGAGGTCCAGGTTCAGGCTGAGGAACTGGGTAAGAAGGCATTGGAGGAGGTAGAAATCCACCTATAGACATTAACAGTAGCATTGCTTTTTTCTGGTAGCAATCATTCCTATGCTTTTTGTTCATGCAGTATGAGCTCAGTGGCCACTTTATTGGTACACAAATCTTTGATTATTTATGTTTATATTTAATGTTGTACTTTTGTACACTGAGAGCACAGTTTACCAAAGCCATATTCCTTGTGTGGTTAAAAGCATGCATGGCCAATAAAGCTGATTCTGATTCTGAATCAGCAGCTTAGCCATATATCCTCATTTCCAGATTACAATGCTCAATCTTGAGTGAATGTTTCCTCACATTTATGATTTAGTCATGTATTTGTAGTTCTTAGTGGAATTTAACCTTAATGTCAAAGTGAGAGGTGTTTGTATTTTTTTTTTTTAAACACAAAATTAAGACCTAATGTATTTAGCCTAAATGTTGTTCTCTTTCATAAAAATGTCAACTTAAACTGATGTTTATGAGCTAAATAAATGAGTAGAAAAAAACATTTGTTGGAGAGGCGATATCCTGGACTGCATTACACTAAACAGATGTGGTGTACAATAGCAATGTGACTAGGAGGCCAAGTGAAAGAAGACATCAGTGTGGTGAATAGTTTCCTATTTTTACAGTGCTTTACCTCCTCCTCCCGCCACTGTTCCTTCATATCCAGGCACACTGTCAAACATACTGGCCGGAGGAGCGCTGGGGCCCTGGAAGTCTTCTGCGGGTGGGGCGAACATAGCTAAAGCAAACCAGAAGAACCAGTTTTGGTCATGTGTATACATTTAGCCAGAGAGGTGTCAAAAGTATTGACGTTCATTACTCTGGTTACCTTCTCTTAAGTAAGGTAACGAAGTTTTCTTACTTGTACTTGACACCCCTGCATTTAGCTTTTCAAAATGTTATCTTTTAAAGTGTTAATGCGTAGAACAAACAGTTTATAAAGAAAAAAAGAGTATTGACTCCAATGCTCATAGCTTTATCTTCTCACAAAAACCAGTTGATAAAGTTTACAGTATAACGCGTCTCTACATGAAAATACCTTAAGACAGAGTCGTGAAGGAATCACTTACCTTGTGCATCATACATGTTATTATCCATCATGCGGTATTTTATAGCAAAACCATAGACTCACAAAACAGGGCTGGGTTGTTTCTAAACACCGTAACTTCTGTAAATCTGGTGTCGCTCAGAACGGCAGCAGCGACCGCAGACACCTCACCTAGCCTGAACTACAAAATGACGTCACGGCTATGTGACTGACCCGTAAAACGAGTTTTTAGTTTCAGTTAAATTGGTTAACTCTCTCTTTGAATGAGCTAATACAACTCCATGGATCTTACCTGCCCCCCCTTCTGCTGCCGGGAGGTACCCAGGGTTGGCCACTCCATAATTTGGGTTTTGGTGGCTGCGAATAATGCGAAAACGAAAGTTAGGTCAGTGAAATGGAAAATAAAAAATATGTTAGAAGTGAAACACGCAACATAAATGCAACGCTTACTTCATTATCGGCTGATTCTCCATTAAAACGCAGGAACTCGACTAGAAAGAAGATGACAAACTATCCACACATTCGTGATCTAATCAAGAATAGGGCACTATAACCTATCATCATGTGACAAAATGCTGATCATTTACCTTTTATCATACCCCACCCCCGTGTGCTGGATTTTTAGTCCGCTACCGCCTCCTCTTCTTAAACAGGAAAATAAACTTCCCTTTTTGGTGGTCTGTGTTCCGCTTGAAATGAATGCTTATTCTGTTATACACTGGTCTTTTGGGGAAATCAAGTCCATCACTTCAGAGAAGTTCAGAAGGAAAAGCCACCCTTTGCCCCCCGACAAAAAAACAAATCTGTTCAGGAAGTGCGCATGTGACACGTTAAAAAGGAATACACCTACAGTTAAGAATAAAACACAGAGTTCATGATCTGTTACAGGGTTAAATAATTGATTGTGGATAAAAAAAAACATTGCATAGTTACAAGAAGTTATATAGAGAGTGATTTAAAAAAAAAGTATAAACAAGTTAAAATGCTTAAATATCAGTTTTATGTGAAAAGAAAAGGTTAAAGATGATAAAAGAATGTTTAATAGACATGATTTAGTTCATTCTTTATTGTTAAAAATAAGATTTGTTGATGTGTATCTGTGATCTACTGACTTGTCT